CGGTGAATTTTATTTTATTGTTTTTAAATTTTTTTATATTTTTTTATTTTTTGATAAATAAATAAATAAACAAATTATTATTATCGAATAAGTCATAAATTAACTAGGTTAAGATTAAATAAGTCATATTTTAGAATTAACTAGGTTAGGGATATTTAGGGTACAAAATTAATGTTTACTCTTATTGAAGGAAGTTTTAAGTTTTACTCCTATTTGTGCAATTATGTTTATGTTTACTCATATATTGGGCAATTTCTTTTAAAATATTTGTTATTAACAAGTACAATAAAAAATTATATGAAAAATTAGCTAAAATGATCCTCTACCATAACTCCAGCCAATACAGCCAGAAAAGTAACTCTAACCTTACTTTGTTTATTGGTTATTATTACACAATTCAGTTTTTGAAATAAAAAATTACATGTTTGATGAAAAAAGTGATCGACAATCTTGATAAGTAAAAAAAGGTCATCAAACGTATGTACTTCAAATGTTTTAGGGAAGTAAAATCGAACGTATGTACTTCAAATGTATGTACATTTGAAGTACATCAAACGTATGTACTTCAAATGTTATTAACAAGTACAATAAAAAATTATATGAAAAATTAGCTAAAATGATCCTCTACCATAACTCCAGCCAATACAGCCAGAAAAGTAACTCTAACCTTACTTTGTTTATTGGTTATTATTACACAATTCAGTTTTTTAAATAAAAAATTACATGTTTGATGAAAAAAGTGACCGACAATCTTGATAAGTAAAAAAAGGTCATCAAACGTATGTACTTCAAACATGTAGTTTTTGAAATAAAAAATTACATGTTTGATAAGTAAAAAAAGGTCATCAAACGTATGTACTTCAAATGTTTTACGGAAGTAAAATCGAGTTTTAGGGAGATGTATTGAATATGTATTGTGGTAGACTTTTTTTAATCCATGGACTTTTAAAAACATCAATGAACTTTTAAATGGGATTTCCCCCCTAAATATTACTAGATTGAAGTCAATTTCCAAAAATGTGACTACTTTTAAATATTGACAAAAATATGATTTACAGGATCATAGTTTTGCAAATTCAGAATGCCTCTGCAAAATTTTCATGTCACCGCGGTTTTTTTTTTTATGTCATTGTAAGTTGTAGAATTCCATGTCAGTAACGAATGTCACTGATACATCGGAAAATTTCTCAGCGCGATCACCTGACCTGCCACCACTTGACCCACCCCAGCACTGCCCAGAGACTCACCCCCCAGTTGCAACTCCCAACACCTAAATTTTGAACCGTATTTATCACCTATCTAGATTCTATCCACAATTTTGCAGAGACAAAGAAATTCGAGCAACTTACCATCGCAACTACTAGCGACAAAAATAGAAGAATTAGACAGTGAAGAAGAAGGGTCTGGGCGTTGTTTTTATGGAAATTATCTCGCTGGAGAAGAGGTCTTCGACGAAGTATCAACCACCGCCGATGGCGGCTCTGTATATGCTATGCGGAGGTCACATCTGAAATATCAATCATGCACTGTCAATGGATGCTTTGTCTTCGATGGAGCAGAGGATGGGAGTAGTTCTTCACGATTTCACTTGACCTTGTATCATCCTGGAGTCCCCATCGCTGGAGCTCTGCGTGGAACGAAGCTACAGAAGTTCGTATAGAAAGATGGCCAAGCTTGGAGCGAAAGTAAAGGCAGACGGGAGTTATTAGGGTTTATGATTTTAATCATTTTTTTGTCCAAATGAATTCTGGTCATATTTTGCTCCAATGAAAGTGTACAAGTAATATTTGTCTCACTATTTCCTTTTAAATCCTGACCACCACTTCCGGATCGTCGAAATTTTCACCTAGATCGTTGCTACTGATATGTCTTTTTGTCTCCGTCACCGGAGTTCGCTGTCATCGTCATCAGACTGATCCGCCACCGGTAAAATGTTTTTGGTTATGCAAAGGAACTAGTGGGCCAGTGGCAATTAATTATATTAATCAATTAAATTAGAGATAGACATGTAATATTTAATCCTATTTAAGGAAAAAACCAAACATATGATCATACTTTAAGAAAAATGTTATGTTTAGTCCTATCGTGACTAATTTCCTCTATTTTCTAACCCGATAGGCAAACCACCAAAATCAGTGGGGTAAATGTCGGGGAACATTTACTAGATTTTTTTTTATTAAATAAAAAAGCTGAATACACAAGGGGACATAAAACCTTACCCTTAACAAAAAGAAGCCTAGCAAGGAGCCAACATTAAAAGATATCCAAAAAATTAATAAACATATGGAAAAGATGCAACATTTAGTGTGATGACTCCTCTCAACTCAATGGGAAGTATATCTCCTTTCCTCCGGTAAAAAACTCTATTAGAGCCCAAATAAATAAATAAATAAATAAAATAAATATTATTCATTTAGCAACGCAAAGTTCTACAAGAATAAATGAAGCATAAGAATTCAAATTTACACGTAGTATTTATTTAAAATAAAACTCAAAATATTGAAAATGTTCAACAAACTCGGTCTCTTTATGATCAATTGTTATATTATACAACTCAATTAGTAAGAACATTAATCGTTACAAATTACACAAACATTACACTCATTGTTGCGTGTGGTACAAGCATAGATGCAATCGAGCTTTTCTTCTTAATAATTATTTGGTTTTGGTTTTGGTTAAATTTTTTGTATACGTATTTATGGTTAAATATTTATTAATTTCAGTTTTGGTTTTCCATTCATTTTCAGCTTGTTAAATTTCGTATACGTATTTATGGTTAAATATTTATTAATTTTTTAAAATTATATTTTTATATGTTAGCGGTTTAACGATGAAACACAATAATATAACAAAGTAATACTATCGATTTTTATATCGATTCTTCTAAAATGATAAAAACATCAAAATTTATTGAAGCTATCCCGGTACCCACCTCCCGACCCTGACCGATACTAGTCTCAGACTTGTTGGTCGGGTTGTGATCCCAGGTAAATAATTAGCCAAATCAGCAACCAGATGTATGCGTACTTTTGACGAGTAGAAACCAACAGAAAAGTCCACAGAAATCTTTGTTGAGGAGAAGAGACAATTGCAGAGAATAAATGAACTAAGAATGAGTAAAAGTCCATGAGAATCCATGATTTTAGAAATCAACAAGAATGAACGGAAGTTTGAATATGCCTAGACTTTTATAACTTTTAAAAGTCTACATTGAATACACCTAGACTTTTTTATACTTAAAAAAGTCCACATTGAATACACCTAAACTTTTAAAATCCATGGTCTTTTAAAAAGTCCCCAACACGGATTTTAAATGATTTTAAAGGATTGTAGATTTTATGGATTTTAATAAAATTTTACAGATTCCATGAGATACATATTGAATTCTATTGAATTCTATGGAATTCTACTTCTCATTGAACGTGGAACTGTCAGCTCTTTTCTTCCGCTTTCTTCTCGAGTCGAATCCGATTCTATCATCTAGTCATTGGATATACATTCACTAGAACCACTACCAATTTGTATGAATCACATCACACTACGTTTCTTCCCTACATTGCCCATCTCTAAAGCAAAACTGTACGAACCCATTTCGCAATATAGACGAACACACACAAAAGCTCTCAGTCCATCAATGTAAAGAATCCAGCTCTATACAGAATGGGTCACTACCAAAGAAACCATCTTCTAGGGAAGAAAGGGGGCGGTGGCAGCGGGTTGGTTGACGGCGATGAAGATGAAGAATTTCGTAGCAAGAGAGCAAAACCCAATCTTTTGATTATCCTCTTTCCCCACAATGTGGTTTTGTGGTTGCTATCAAGCCAAGGAAACAGACGGGTGAGAAGAGATGAGAAGTAGGGCTGGCATTTTGAACTGAAAAAAACCGAAAACCGAATCAAAAATAACCGAACCGCTTTAGAAAAAACCCGAACCGGACCGAACCGAACGAAATTGGGACCAAATAATCGGGACCCGAAAAAAATCGGTTCGGGTTCGGTTTATGTGCACAAAATATCGGTTCGAACCGAACCGAACCGACATTTTTATATTAATAATAATAATAATTAATGACGATTAATATAGGTATAATATAACCCCAGCGAAATGTCAAGGGATCGATTCCCGTCTGCGGTGGTAATGTTTTGTTTTCTTAGAATTTGGCTTCTTTTCTATTCTATTTTGTCCCACACCAGAAAATGAGTAGCTTACTACTCCAAAAACTTCAATGTAAACTAGGACCCCTTAGTGTAGGCTGCTAAGATACGTTCTAGGCTGCCAATTGGGCTAATGGGACTCAAATATTGGCAAGTTCCAATGGGCACCAAATATTGACAAGTTCTAATTGTCTATTCAATATTAGGTCAAATTTATTTATTACAATTGAGTCGGTTTTTCGGTTTCCAGTAAATCGAACCGAAAAAATCGGGCACCAAAAATCGGTACCCATTTTTATAACGATTCAGTTTCGGTTTTGACAATTTAGTAAACTGAAATATCGGGTTGGTTCGAGTTTATACTGAATCGATTCGGATCCCGAACTGAATTCAGCCCTATTGAGAAGAGTCGTACGGACAGGTGGGTGGATTTCAAATCCGAGGGGTGAGGCAAAGAGAATCAGTGGATATTGGATTTGTATTATTTTTTATACAAATTCCATTAAAATCAACTGAAATCTTAGAGAAACATATCAATGGAGTAATTGAGGACACCCAGATTTTAAAGAAATTTTGAAAATCCAAATCAAGGACACCCGGATTCTGATAGAATTCTAAATTCCTTTAAAATCCATAAGAATCGGTATTGTGGACACCCTGAGTCCTAATACAATACTCCTCTTTAGTACTCCCTCCGTCCCTAAAAAGATTGCCAGGTTTGACCGGCACGTAGAATAAAAAAGTAAAAACTGTGTGGTAGATATTTGTGCAAAGGAAAGAGAAAAAATAGGAACCACAAATTGATTGATTAAAATGGAAAGTTGCAAAATTTTTGGGACAACAAAAAAACGGAAAGTTGACAAAGTTATAAGGGACGGAGGGAGTATGTATTTGACACGTGGTGCAAGGTCAGAAATGATGATGCCTTTCCTCCTGACACGTGTAAAAGCACGTACTCTCATACTCCGTATTCAACACTGAATCTCTCAATTTCAACAGCAAACTGAGCAAATCATCTTCTACCGAAAAAACTCCTATCCTGATCGTCTCGGTTCTAGTTGCAGGTAATTCTCTCTTTTCAGATAGATTTCGTGAGAGGATTAGCTCCTACCAAAAAAATCACCTTTTTGTTGTCTTCCTATCACATTCATATCATTCAGTGCCCACAATCTGCTTGATAAAACGACGAAATGAGCTTCTCATATATTACTCCGTATTATTTCACTAGTTTGTGTACTCTGATGTACAAATTCATTAAGAGATACTCCGTATATTAAAGTATTCTACTCCATTGATGGTGTAACTTTTTTTTCTTGTTGGATCGGAAGTGGCATTCCATTTACTATTTCTTTCCTAATTGACTAGACAGAAAAAGACGAATGTTTTTTTATTTCTCTGCTAATTAGGGTTTTCACAATCCAGTAAAGGAAATTTTCCTTTTTTCGTTTTTTATTCTGAAAAAAAAAATGAAGATTTTGTTTATCATTCGCTATGCTTTTCACCTTAAGCTGCTAATCCAAGGAATTTCAACAGCTTATGAGATTAATTAGTGTGATTAGAAGATTATGCATTTCATTTTTATAGACATTTTCTTTTTTCTGGAAAAGCTAATGCCTTCTGCAAAATTTATCTCCAGGAGTTATGCTGAAACGTGGAAACAGGTCACAGAAGCAATTAAACAATGCTCGGCTTGTCAGGTTGCCGATTTTCATTGTGTTCTTTTTACTCTTCTGTGCATCAATCCTCATTTTCTTTGGGAGAAATGGCAAGAGATCTGATCATCCATCCCCACGCACATCAAAACAGCATTTGAGTACCTTGAGTTCTTCTTCGGTAAAGCTGGATCCCTTTGTGGAAATCAAGAACGGGACCGAATTGGTATGGCAAATACCCGAAAAACCCAAAGCGGTTTTATTTCTTGCCCACGGCTGTAATGGCAAAGCAACCGACTTTTGGGACAAAACGCCTAATTGCCCAAACTGCACTGGCCTTCCAGAAGAAAGGCTCATTGTGATGAACGCCCTTTCAAGAAAGTTTGCAGTTCTTGCCATATCCAGTTCTAGAAGATGCTGGTCATTCGGAGAAGAAAGGTATAAGGTTAAACACATTATAAATTCGTGGGTATCTGAGCAAAATCTGGAAAATATTCCCCTTATAGCTCTGGGCGCTTCCTCAGGTGGATACTTCGTTTCTCTTGTTGCCACTGATATTCAGTTCAGTAGCATTGTTCTAATGATTGCTGAAGGTTTGTATGATAAAATTGATCTAAGAAAGGGATATTACCCACCCACCCTGTTTGTCCACATGCCCAGAGATGGAGCTAGAAAGCTTAGCATTGATAGATTCATCATGCTTTTGAAGGAGAATGGTGTTGACGTTGGAGAGATTGAGTGTTTGGAGTTTCCACTTTCACCCGAGTTTTTTGCTGGTCGGGTTCCGGGTCTGGATCTGACTGTTTCTGCTAAACTGTTTGAGTTGTTTCAGAAGAAGGGCTTTGTAGACAAGAGGGGTTTTATGAGAAAGGATGGACGGGCTATACGATGGGATGTGGCTATCAAGAAGGAATTGAAGTCTCTTCTTCCTGATATTTCTTTGCTCAAACATATTCAAGAAGAAATGAATCTTGCTTATGGGTATCATGAGATGACGAGCTTGCAGTCTGAACAAATCTTTAACTGGTTTGAATCTCATTTGAGCAAACAGGTAATTTGATATCAAGAATGTTATAGGATTTGATGTGTTCAGTCAGATCAGTGGTTAGAAATCCAAATAGTGCGTTTAACCCTTCTTAATGTTATGTTTCATGAGCAGTAAATGATACCAGATTTCTATGGTGAAGTGTTGAGGCTTGATGTTTTGCATGACCAGGAGAAAAAAGGGGAGATATTGGTGGTTATTACTACAGTAGTACTATTTTTTTTTCACTATTGACTAAGAGTAGTACTCCGTAAAATAGTACCGGTGGGCGTAGCTCAACCGGTAATGAGGGAGTGTCAAAAGGGTTGGGTCCCGGGTTCGAATCCCGCCAACTGCGATGAGGGGTTACTATACCAAAATGCATAGGGTCTCTGCAAGTACCGGGGACAAAGCCTCACTCTCTATCTGTCAGATTGGGATTATAGTCCAATTTACCTCTCCCAACGTACCGTCCTGTCGGGGTTGGAGGCCTCAGGCATGGAGTGTCATCCTTTTTTTCCCGTAAAATAGTAATTCTAAATTATCGGTTCATAAATAAGCTTTTCAATAACCGACTTCCACATTGAATTTTAAGTTAAAATTTCGGGGAGATAATGTACACTTTAGGAAGAACATTATCACAAAATTTCATCAAATTTTTTTACCGGAAACCACCTTTCCGGTTCCGGTCAGAAGCTCCAGACAAGAAATGTGCTCTCCCCGGTTCCGGTCAGAAGCTCCTGACAAGAACGGTGCTCTTTATATGTACTGCTGGCTAATCCCATGCGGCCGGCTCGTTTCAGGTTTTTCCTCTATTGTTTTGAAATTAAATCATAACCACAGGCTCAATGGCTCTTGCCTCATTTAACCTCTTAGGTTTGACTATTGGATGATGTCGATTTTTAAATTTAATATCTCATTGTATTAAGTTGAAGAAATAGTCTGTTGGCTGGAAGGTCGGAAGAAACAACTATGCATAGAGGCGGCAAAGCTACTGAGCTGCTATAGAAGGGGAGGTAGAAGAAGACATGGAGTGTCATGGACTTTGCCTATACATAACTATGCATTTCCGGTTAGGGGGTGGCACCTACTTGCCTCTTGATTCTGCCCCTACACAATTTATACCTATAACTATGGAGTTTTTGCCATTTTCGATTCCCGACTATTGTGTCATTGACACTTTTGGTACTCGAATTTTAATTTTTTCAATTTTAGTCCTCAACTATTGTGTTTCGGACATTTTTAGTCCTTGCCTTCAAAGTTTTCCCCATTTAGTCCCCGAGTATTATCAAATTGACAATTTTGATTTTGACACAATAAGTGGAGGACTAAAAATATCATTATTATAATAGTTGAATGAAAAAAATACGTCACTTTTATGAAAGTCAGAGGACCAAATATGGGAATTTGCAAAGACGAGTACCAAAAGTGTCCGTAGTGCAATTGTCGAACACTAAAAGGGGAAAAAATCAAAGTCGGGTATCAAAAGTGTCAATGGTATAATAATTAGAGGAATAAAAGTGACAAAAACTCATTTATGGGAAGCATTAAAAACTTTATATCGATTCTTTAGGAGGACATCATAAGATGGAAGGATGCTATTCAGAAGCTTTAGCTTATTAGAGAGTGTTTTGACATCCATTATGAAGAAAGATAGATTGTAATACTCGAGGTTTTCTCAAAACGATTAATAAAACTACTCATACCGACAAGATGCACCTTCTTATAATGAAGCTCATTTGATAAGAACTCCAAGTAAGCGTACGAATGAGAGTAGTGTAAGTAGGCCTGAGCATCGGGCGGGTGGGTGAACCCACGACCCTTTCAGATTTCGGATGTGTAATTAGCCTATCCTACCCTATGTTTTTTTACCCTAAATTTTTCGGGTTTTAATGAGCTTTGGGTAGGGTGGGTTCGATTCGGGTATCAGGTTATGTCGGGTTCAAGTAACTCATACAAAATGTTCATAGACAAAATATTCAAGTAAAATATATGGTAATTTGATACCAATCTTTTAAACTTATAGAACAAAGTAAAGAACTTAAGACTAAAGTAATAAGCACATATTACAGACTTGCGGTTTACAAATTATAAAATGCTACATAATTCATTAGCATCCAACATTCTAAAGTTCCAAGTACGCAAAATTAATACATCCAACCAACTATCCAAGACTTGAAGTTCAAATGTTCCACAAGTCACAAGACCACAACTATTTTTCACAGCTTCAAGTTTCCACCTGCATACAAGTATGCAAAATTGCAAATGTAAAGCAATAGACAATTAGACATGTATAATAAGTCAGAGTAACTTGGATAAGTTAATGAAACAAATCAGAAAAATCACTGACTCAGAATGCTTGTTATCCTTCCCCAGGAATATAGGGGCAACTGCTACAATTTCAGTTACAACTTACATGTTGTGAACTGAAAGAGCTATACCAACCTTAAATCATACATTCTGTAATGTGTGGAAGCTTCATCATAGCCAATGAATATTAATTGAAATGATATAGTCAAGGATTAATGAGATTATGAGTTACTTACACAAAACCTGAACAAGTCAGAGCAAGGGACAAGGGTCCAGGGACAGTTCAGAGTTGCCAGAATGATATAATCATACTCATAATACATTATACATAATCAGAGAGCTCAGAAGTCAGAATGCACATGGAAAAACAACCACATAATGCCAAATCAGAGAGTCATGTACTCATGTGCATACACATTCAAACCTACAAACCTATACACATTATACATACCCATAATACTTATACATAATCAGAGAGCCAGAAGTCAGAATGCACATGGAAAAACAATCACATAATGCCAAATCAGAGAGTCATGTACTCATGTGCATACACATTCAAACATTCAAACCTATACACATTATACATACTCATAATACATTATACATAATCAGAGAGCTCAGAAGTTAGAATGCACATACACATAGAGCTCAGAATGCACATAATCAGTTACTCATGTACTAATGTTCAGAGCTCAGAGTGCTTTTTATCATTCATAAGGGAAAATATGGGGCATCTGCTACAATTTCAATTACAACTTACCATTTTATGAACTGAAAGAGCAACACCATTTCAGTTACACATATCAACACATGATATATTGATATGTGTATACTAAGCTTCCACATTGTTAATACTTAATACCTCACAGATAAGGCAAGAAGGCAACACATGAATAAGTTTGGAACAATCAGCAAGCTGATTTACAGAAGGATAAAAACACTTTGCTTTTTCACTTCTCTACAGACTCTGTAGAACCCGGTTCACTCTTTGTACTCGTTTGAGTACTAGAGTTGAAAAAGGCTTCTTCATCAAAATAATAAGGTAGTTATGTTACTTATTTACAACAAACAACATAACAAGTAAGCAACACATGATATATTGATAGGTGTTAGGTGTATACTAAGCTTCCACATGACACATCTCAAAGTATACAGAGTAACAAAGGTGAACTTATAGGTGTATACAAATACATCACAAAATGTACAGATCTGGACTCATATAAAAAGTCACACATGAATATAGAATATATAGCTTGATTAGCTTCCACACTTCATTCATATTTCAAATAAACTGATATGAAATTCTGAATGCATCATAAGAGTTGTACATATACACAAATATACTAATATACATCAACAATTAACAGGGACAACTGGATAACCGAACATTCGAACACATCTGTACATGACTGAACTCAGAAGTCAGAAATCAAATGTGACGAACTTAACATGCAACTTTCACAAATATACGAACATCACACGACTAATCACAACTCAGAACATCCATGCATCATCAAGGATTAAACTTACCATAATACAAATATGTTTAACAATTTAAGTATTTTATACCTCAACGGCTCGAGATGAAGGAGATGAAAGCTTTCACTAGGTTAGAGAGTAGAGACGGTAAACCCTACAAGGAGATGAAGGCTTCCACTAGGTTGAGGACTACAGCCCTACAACGACGGCAACGGCGGCCGACGAAGTGAGAAGTTAAACCAAATTAGGGTTAGCCGCTTAGAGAGTTAGAGAGAGAGTCTGAGAGTGTAACTGTGTAAGCTAGGGTTAACCGGCGAAGGGAAATAGGGATAAGGGAAAGGGAGTGGGGTTATTTTGACTTTTGAGTGTTGGGTTATGGGTAAATGGGTAATGGCCTAATGGGCTTGGGGAGTTGGGGCCTTGGGGAGTTGGGGGAACCGGGGAAGTGGGCTACTGGGCTTAGGTTTGGTCGGATTTTTGGGCGGTTCGGGTAGGGATTAGGAGGACCCTACCCGCTGGGTGTCGGTCTAAAAAATAACGGGTTGGCGGGTCGGTTCGAGGGTTCGGGCCGGGTCAACCGATCCAATAACAAAAAATCGGGTTCACCCGATCGAGTTCTTCGGGTAGGGTCGGTTTTGCTCAGCCCTAAATGTAAGAATGGATGACCCAACTGCATAAATTACCTTTTTAACTGCACAATTATCTTCAAGAATTAATTTGAATGTCTTCCCGATTGAATTTTTAGCTGAAATTTGGTATGAGTGAACTAGACTTAATTAATAGGATAGTCAAAAAGTTTCATCAAAAACTTCTACCGGAAGCCGCCCCAAATGATGACGGCCGGATAGAGCTTCCTATATAAGGCCTTATTTGACCCTTTTATGTAAGTTCGAGGACCTGTCTCACTCTTTTCCTATGTATATATGTATGTATGTATATATATATATATATATGTGTATATATATATATATAAATGTATGTATATATACATATATATATATGTATGTATACATATATACATATATATGTATGTATATATATATATATACATATATATGTATATATGTATGTATATCTTACTTCCTAGATAAATTCCTTGTTGTGCTACATTCGCTCACTTGGGAATCAAAAGAGGAATGGATTCAAATTCAAGCTACACAGTATCAAGATATGATGAGTAGCATTGAATGTATTTCTTGTTAACATCTAAAACAATTTGGATTCATCGACTATAGCACATCAAGGCTAACAGAGGGAAATGTCATCATCCCTTGGTATCTTCGCAACCTGTTTGACTGTTTTAGTTAGATGATGAGTAAATTGTAATTAAGGGGGCTACACATGCATTTGCTGTTTCACGAATAGGGTTGTTTTAGTTCGGGCCTTGATTCTGGACGAACTCACAATTTACGTTTTGAGATGACGTTTCTTTCCTTAGTTGTCATTTACTTACTTAATTTAAGAAGGGTAAGCTAGGTCAATGGCCCCCCATTTGTACGTCACCATTTTGAATAAAATTTTGGTGCGAGACACTCACCTTCTACCACAATTATTTCGATAGTTTATCTTGTAAGTTATACCTTTTTAAGATATGATGGGTAGCATTGAATGTATTACTTGTTAACATCTAAAACAAATTGGATTCATTAACTGTAGCACATCAAGGCTAACAGAGGGAAATGTCATCGTCCCTTGGTATCTTCGTAACCTGTTTGACTGTATTAGTTAGATGATGAGTAAATTGTAATTAAGAGGGTTACACATGCATTTACTGATTTCATGAATAGGGCTGTTTTGGTTCGGGCCTTGATTTTGGATGGACTCACAATTTACTTTTTGAGATGACGTTTCTTTCCTTAGTTGTCAATTACTTACTTAATTTAAGAAGGGTAAGCTAGGTCAATGGCCCACCATTTGTACTTCACCTTCTACCCCAATTGTTTAGATAGTTTATCTTGTAAGTTATACCTTTTTAATCCGGTAGAAAAACCAAAATCAAAGAGGTAAATGTTGGAGAATATTTATCAAATAATAAGTCTATTATTTTATTAAGGGAAAACTGTCAAATAAGTCTCATAGTTTAGTAAAAAAGTCAATTAGATTTTCGTACACAATAATTACTCAATCAAATCCATGAACATATTAAAATCGTTCAATATAGCAATTTTTTCAATAAGTGTCAAGTAATCATGTCAAAATGATTGTGTGGAACTCACGGTTATTCTTACATATGTAATCATGTACTTGAATAACATCCACATTTACTTTTATTTTTTCTTTGTTTTATAATTTGTAGGGGGTGTTTGGGTCTGCTTCTTAAAACTGCTTCTACTCCTTCGAGAAAATCTAGAAAGTTTTTCTCAAGAAAATCTAGAAAGCTTTTATCAGCCTAGTTTTTCTCAAGAAAATGTAGAAATTGTTTTGACCCATCTTCTCAAGAAAATCTAGAAAGTTTAATTGAACTCGGCTCTGAAATTCGCTCCAACCGAATCGAGTCAATCCCTTGATGGACGCGTAGCAGTCTAATCTCTGTCGCCAATCAAAGTCATGCTTCCCTTTCAGACCTCTCATGGATCCCCTTTATAATCGCATAAAAGAAGAGAGAGAAGAGCTGTTGTAGTATAGATGTTGTAGCAAAGAAGTCGATTGCAGGAGAGAGTGATACTGATCAGGTTATCTACGTAGAAATATAAGAAGAGATAACGAGAACAAGTATGAGAGTTTATGCGGAAAGTTCATAAGAGAAGAATGGGGAAGAAGTTCTTTATTCATTACAGTTAGAAGCTAGCCGACTCTAACTGATATCTAACTAACCACTCCATGTCCTCAGATTAATAGCTCTATTTACAACGCATACAAAGTATGCTAACAATACTTGCTGAG